AATGTTTGCATGCCTATGTGTGACATCTTTCATAATAGGTTCCTAATTCATGTTGGAGGCAAAGCACAAGATTCTTCTTTCAGAGAATGGATAATAGTCTAATGATGGTGAAGTAAATTTAATCATGTTAAATGCGGTTCCTGCTTCTTTGCAAGTTTGTCATATTTTGAAGCATCTTCACTGAAGACAGTAATAACTTAGAAGAACTAAACTCTGAAAGCTAATCGTTGTTTCACATGAGTATTTACTGTCCAGAGTGTTCAGTGGACTTGATTGATCTGGGCAATGCAAAAAGGTGAGGCCACAAGCACAAGAATTTTATAGCACCTATAAAGTACTGTATACAGTTTTTGCTCAATTTTATGCTGTTAAACTAAGCATTTGGTATCATATGGCACTTTAAGTACTTTGATTTATGTTAAGACAGAAATTGCATCTGTAATAAACATTCTAAAGTATGAGTTTAGGAGCAATCTACTGTATTTATTTGTGACATAAACACTCACCTGCAATGCATTTGAGAATCATCTTGGACTTAACTCACACTGCACATTACAGCCATTAAGCTTCAGGCACAGCAAGGTCATATCCAAGGTGAAGACGGAAGTGACTGGGAAGAAAGGGGTAGCATGGCAAATATTTTGAAATAGCAAATGGGAAAATATTCTTTTTCTCCTGTTAAATAGTCTGGATACATGACTGTAATTTCTTACTCTACTATAAAGAGTCCTATATTATACCGAACAAGATAAAGTACAAATCCAGTCTTGTTTAATATGAAATATTTAAGCACACAGCCATGAAAAGAACATGAAAAACTCACTGACATCTTTGAAAATAAATATAATAAAATTGCATGTGTTTCAGGTTTATGGAAACTCCCTCAAGGATGAATGAAAGCACAGAAACCCTTTGTTGTACTGGAACCTGCCATGGCTGTGCTCCATGGGAAGAATCCTCCCACCATTACATTTGCTATTTTTGTATTGAATTAATTATGCTCAGTGGAACCTGCTTAAGTGTAACATAAAGTACTAATTTTTAAATGATTTAGGTAGCTTTTTAAATAGCTTAAACAGCTTAATCCTTCCATCTTTGCATATATTTATTATGATAGTAATAGAGTGTGGGAGACTGGCAATAATGTAAATGATGTTATTAGGAATGAATGACAAGGCTTCAGTGGCAGAGTGAGACGTTAACACTCACTCATTTATTCCTTAGGAAATCACAGAATAAGTGAATTCAGATGGATCTCTGGTCTCCCAACAGCAGGCAGAAAAAAGGTCAGGAAAAAGCAACACACATTAGGAAATCATGAAGTTTTCAGGGTAACACAGCTCATTTGGGTAATGACATAAATAAAAAAGACAAATCCAGGATTCTTTAGTTTAAATAATAAAATTAGAGAGAGATTACAAAACAGTATTCAACCTTTGAGGTTGTGTCTGCTGACCTAGCCTCCTCTCACTGTTTTTACGGGAAAAGCAAAGAGACTTAGTCTTTTTATGTTTGTTACATATTGATGCAACAGTGGCGCACTGAATTTCTTATAATAAGGAAGACTTGACCTGTAATGCTACAGAGATTTACATAAACTAAAATGGGACAAGAAGATGGGAAACCAGTGCTTAAAATCCTACTGCTAAGTTTGCAGAGAGTCAGGATGATATTCTTTGCTGAGTATTTATTTTTCCAGAAATCCTTTGTTATCGTACTTGGCAGAGACAATCTGCCATGGTTGTCAGAAGCTCTTAAAAATACTTTTGCAGAGTGCATTTTTTTTAGTATACAAAACACTGCAACAAATGTAACAGGATGAAATCCTGATCCACAAGTCAGCTTGAAAGATTGCAGAATTTTTTGTGGTAGTTAATTGATTAATTGAAGTCAACCAAACAAGAGCTTTGGTGATGATATCCCTAGAGCCTCTGAAAGCTGTTCGCTTCCATTCTTCCCATTGGCATACACAGCTGAATCCGGGCCATAATATTATCATCCTACATCAGAAATTTCAGTTTCATGTGTTTACTCATTATGTGTTTTCACCTATTACTTTGATTATGGGGCTAGAAAGCCTTTCTGAGACTTAGGAGATAAAATCTGTTTTTCTAGATCTTTCTTTAAATATCCTTGCTGATAAAAATTGATCAAAAGTTAAAGGAGACATTTTCTGTGGGATCCTTTTGTCAAAGTGCTGGCGTCATGTCACTGCTCATATGACTTACACATTAGGTTGATTTGAAACTGATATGAAAGTATTATAGTTTCAAGAATAAAATTGAAATACTACTGCTTAAGACAATGATAAAACATTAAAATGGCATCTCTGAGTGTGTGCCGGTTACCTCTCTTTCAGCTTTAACTACCACTTCTCTATATTTACCTGTGCCTTCTGAACCAGCATTTAAAGATAGTTACAGGGACATCTTTTTGACGATAATGTTCTGGCACTCTACAGATTTGTTAAGTTTAACTTTGCTGGGTACAACAGCCTGGAACTGGTACTTCTTTTAAGAAGTAGGCTGTGCAGTTCGTTTCTTGTTGGTGAGGGTTATCTTCCTTGATCCACAATATAATGTCTCTGAAATTGCTGTAGTTAAGATTATGCTTGAAATGGAGGAGGAGGGTCTTGGGGGAGGAGCTGTGAGCCACAGAGAAGTCAGTTCTGTTCACTCTGGCTCTGTATATCATGGTCAGAGCGGACTGGGGCTCCCTTCACCCTTACCAGCGATGGATCCAGCTGTGTCCTGAGGTTTCTCAGCATCTTCTTTCTGAGAATGATGGTGGGAGGGTAGTCTGGGGACTCTGTCCTTTTGCAACAGCCCTATCTGTGTCCTGGAGGGAAACTAGAGTGTGTGCGTGAACAAAAACCATTTTCTGTGGATCAGAGAGACCTAGAAAAGTACTGGGTGGTATGACAGTGGTCTCCTGGAGTAATTGGGCTAGTTAGCTAGGAGAAAGACAACATTTATCTTCCGTACACAAGCTTTCGCTAGATGTTACCATTGCTTTCCAGAGTTATCCCTTTTATCTGTGTGTATAAACTCTCTCCCTTTAATCATGCCCCCTGTGAAACTCGAGGTGACCTGCATGGGCACCACGCATTACCTTTGAGCTCCCTCAAGCGGCGAAGAAACCCGCAGGTTTGTTGCACGGGTGCTTTTGCAAGGAAGCCTTGCAGTTTAAGACCGTGTTTTTAAGAGCAACTGTAGTAAACTGATAGAGCCGCTCTAATTTCAAGACATCTTGACTAGTTTAGGGCCGTTAAAATGTGACCCCATAATTTCATGACATAGTTCTCTTTTGACAGATCTGTTAAAAGACACGTGGCGAGGGAAAAGCAAGCATTTTATGTGCAATGGTCTTTTTACAGCAAATGAGTAGCTTGTTCAAAGGTTTGTCCAATATGGGAAGACCTTTTTGGACCAGACATCTCAAGTAAAATTACTTTAATAGCCAAAAGGAGGATAATGGAGAAATTTTACAAACTTTCACATTTCCCTGTGTGCTTATCGTAGGGCTTATTGCAGCCTACACCTTTAACTTTCTTTTTTTCTAGGTTGCAATTGCTTACGAGAGGTTTGTTCATCTCAAATGTCTCAAGCAAACTACTAATATAAAAAAACTGAAGCCTAGCCACGCGAGGAGAAAGCCCGGTGAAGCTGTGGAGGAGGCAGGGACCAGTCAGGGCCAAAATGCTGGCTGCCATTTCTCCTTGGCCACTCCAGCTCCAGGCAGGGAGCACCTGGACTGGGCAAACCTGCCTGCAGGAAAACCAAAAGTAAAACCTCCTGGGTTTTATGTTGTAAATCGACCGGAGGCAAGAGAGGCACCCTTCCTCTGGGGAGCTCGCTCGCTGTTTGGCTACGACAGGCCTGCCTTTTGATTCAAAGAAACTAACAATAGCTTGATTAACTATTAAGTAGGTATTCTTTATTGGCAGCGCTGGGTTCATGGAGGATCGCTCCACCTATCGTGCACACCGTCGGGCCTAATTGTGCAGGTTAAGTACATATTCTACATACATATTCACTAGATTTCTGAGAAATGTTATACATATTCATTAGTTTTCTGGGAAACTATTAGCATATGCAAATGTCCTTTACACAGGCGCATTGAAGGTCTCTGGTGGTCTTCCATAGTCTTCTTCATTTGTCCGCTACTTGACGTTCCTCAGGTGATTCTGTGCAGTATGGTCCATTACATGCTTTGATACATCAGTGCTTGTTAGTGCTCTTATTATCTAAGTTTTCATTAGTGATGTAAAACCATATTGGTTAGTTTAAGCTAAATTATCTACAAGGACGAGAACAAAGGCAGGAGTTCTTATCTTTTCCGGCCCTATCTATTCAAGCAAGGCCTCTGCTTGTGCCTTCTCAACAAGATCGTAAGTTCATCAAACATTTAATTAAGTTTTGTGATTGCTCATGGCTCCCTCTTGCTCATCACTCCCAAGTACCAGTCTCTGACAGGCTTAGTCCTTGACAAGCACCAGTCCTTGGTACGTAAAGTTACAGAGAGAGAAGACGAGCTAGATCATTAATGAGCAGTTCGTTCTCTGTATCACTTTAGAATCCCTCTACGTAGAAAAGGCGGCTCTAGGCGCTAAAATGTGAAGTGACGTCCTGCCAGCTGCGTGCCTACGACAGAGTTTTGTCATTGCTGCAACGCCGGGCACGTTTGAGGCAGGCGATGCCCTCACCAGACCACGAGGTCAGCTTATGGGTACGTTTCGGGGGGATTTTAAGGCGGTTTTTTTGCCGCTGTTACGTTCGTGTTTTAACCCGGCGAGCCTCGTTAGCTGTAGCACGTAAACGCTCGGGATTTTACACTTCTGGTTTTAGCGACCTCCTCATTTCCCACAGAGGCGGCGGGCCCGCGGCGGCCAGGCCTGGCTGCCATGGCAACGAGCCGCGGCGCATTGTGGGGCCGCCAGCTCACGTGACGCCCGCGGGCGGGCTGGAGACCACGTGACGGCCGCTCACGTGACAGCGGCGGCAGCGATGGCGGAGGACGAGCGGGCGCTGCTGGGCTCCGCCGCCGCCGCGGAGGAGGATGAGGATGGCGGCGGTTCTCCGGGGCCTCTCCGTTCCCTGCCCGCCGTCTGCGATCCGCGGCGTTTGCCGCACCGCCTCCTCGTCCTGGCGCTCATGTGCTTCCTGGGCTTCGGTGGGTGGCGGGGGCAGGGCCGGGGGTGTGGGGTGCTGAGGGCAGAGCTCTGAGGCGGTCCCCTTCTCCTTGCAGGCAGCTACTTCTGCTACGACAACCCGGCGGCTCTCCAAACGCAGGTTCAACGGGTGAGTAGCTGCCGGGGGCGGCAAGGGGGGTGCGGGCAGTGGCCAGGTCAGGCAGTGCTTGTTTCAGAGGAGTTCTGCTTGGGTGCTTATGCCGTGTCTCTGTAATTACCTTAGGAGGACGTGACGGAAAAGGACTTAACTGCCAGGTTCAAGCAAACGACTTGAACTTCACTCGCAGGCTTAACTGCAAGGTTCAAGCAAATGATTTATTTGAAATTCACTTACAGACTTAACACTATTGCAGGTTCTACAGATACAATGTAGGAATGCACTATTGCAGTTTTTTAAGACAAGAGTAGTACATTATTGCAACCACAAGCAGTTTACAGACAACCACAAGCACACACGCATTTACAAACTTAAAGCATAAACAATATTCACTTACCCCTCCAGGTAAGGGCTTTCAATCCCAGGGAACTTACCTCGACCGGTGTCCCGATCACGGGGGGGGGGGGAAGGGTTTCCTTCGCAAGCCAACTGTATAGTTGGAGAAGTGACTCCCCCATTCCAACCTGAATCTTAGCGTTTTTATCCCCTGACTTGTGGAACGGTGTGTATGACTATGTCTGAGTGGATTATGATATATGCCTAAATGGATTGTGTATATCTGAGTGGAGTTTCCCCTTATCTTTCCTTTGTTTGTCTGTGACTTTTTGAATACACAAGGTTGTCATTTGAAACTGAAGCTGAAACCCTCCAGGCTTTGGGTTTTTTTACCTTGCTTCCTCAGGAACTGAATAGTGGTTGGACTGAAACTCAGGGCATACTATTTGTTAAGGGATTTCAAGGCTCAGTTCAGGTTTTGGTTCTTTGAATGGTGCAGCCGCTGCCCTGTTTACTTTAGGGTTTATCAGACAACCCAGGGCTAAGCTGTCTACACAGCTCCCATGAGTCGTCTCTGCAGAGGGACAGGGCCTCAAGGCAACCCAAGGCTGGGTCACTTTTGTAACCCCCCCATGAGTCGCCTGTGTGCACTAGACATGGTGAAACTCCACACAGAGTAATTACTTTTCTTTTTTTTTAATTCTCCCCTCTATGTAGGATATGAAGGTGAACACAGCTCAGTTCATGGCACTCTATGCATGGTATTCCTGGCCCAACGTGGTTCTTTGCTTCTTCGGAGGTTTTCTGATAGACAGAGTGTTTGGAATACGGTAAGTGGGATGTTAGTGTCGCTGCTGTTCAACGGGTGGTAGACTTAAAGTGCACGTGAAGTATAGGCTTTATAATACAAAGTTTTTTTCAAGTTATAATAAGCTTTTTCAAATTTTATTTTCATGTGATCTAGGAATTTCCAGTGGTATAAATGAGCTTCTTTCCATTTATAGCTTAAGTAAAGTGGCTTCAGAAATGCCAATCTGTACTACCTTTTTTTTTAAAGAGGCTGTCACATTTGTAACAGATATTTTATTGCATATCAACCTCCCATTGTTTCCTTGCTGTAGCTCTAATATAGTTTTTTTTAAAGGAAAGAAGAGTCTACCTGTGCATTAAGTGATTTTGTTTGTCTTGCAGGTTGGGCACTATAATATTTAGTATCTTTGTTTGTGTCGGGCAGGTAAGTGCAAATGAGAGGGTGAAGGATGATATGTGTCTGAAGCTTCTCTACTGGGGTGGGGTGGGGAAAAAAGTCAAAATGGCTTCTCGTGTACTAGAAAAGTGTGTATTTCCAATGGAAGTAGGCAGGTGAAGAGAACTGAAATGGGAGAACCATGAATTTTATTGGGGTAACTGGGAACTGAGGACCTCAAAGGATGAGTGAAATAAGAATGTGGAGGAACCAAATATTTTATCCATTTGATGTGAAACTAGTATGTAGGTGTATTTGGCTAGGGTATGATGATAAAGGTGAAGCATGACTTAAGCCTCTGGAGGTGTTTTCTGAGTGCAGTTTCAGGGTGGGCCAGGTTGGATATTGTGTAGCCAGCAGGATGATGTGTAAGGGATGCAGAGGGAGCAAAGGCAAAAAATTAGGAGTAGGAATTGGGTGTGAAGTATTTCTGCAGGTCTGGGAAGGGAAAAAAGCTTTTTTGTTTCTGTTTTGAGATTATTCTAGTTTGTTTCATACTTCAAATACAAAATTATTATTTTTCCTTAAATGTTTATTTGGCAGGTGATCTTTGCTTTGGGAGCACTACTTAATACTTTCTGGCTGATGGACCTGGGCAGATTTGTATTTGGGTAAGTCTAGAAGAGAATAGTATGTGCTGTCTGAGGTAAGGGCCTGCTTTCTGTGTCCTAGAAAACTGCTACCATGTTTACACTGAGAGATAAAATTGTTGGATTTTGAGGCACCTATAAAGGTGAGGCATGCAAGATCTTAAGTCGCATTCCTGGTCTAACTTAAAGTTAGAAAACAAAAACCAGGACTTTGCGGGTCTTACTGAATTCAGAAGTAATGAAACTACGCAAATACAGACATTCAGTAAACTGATAAAACTGTATTAGTCCTCCTTTTCTCTTAATTCTTACTTTCCTGAGTAAAAAGGATTCTTAGCAACAAATACAACAGAGCTCCTAGAGTGGCAAAAAATGAGAGCAAATGTCAGAACAAATACTTCCAAGTTGTGAATGTGCCACAGCATAAAAATGTTAGAAAATCTGACCAACTGTATTGGGGGGTGGGCAGAAGACTCCCTTAAATTCTGATTATGGGTAAGATGCCTGCTTTTTGGTTTCATTTGGGTCAGGATCTGCAGCACTTGGTTCTTTAATGCAGAAGAGAAATGAGAAGCTGCTGCCCATTGCTTTAATGTCTGTAAATGACCAAAGGCAGTTATAATTGCTCCTAGACTACTTAAGATACTTTGTACTCTTCATTATTAAGACCCGGCAATTCCCTTTTGAATTGTCTTTAAGACTTCTGTTGCCTTGCATGTGTGCATTAGATCTACCTGTACATAGATAAATTTCTCCGAAATACTGTTATCTTGGTATTGCCAGCAATTGATGGACTGCTTCCTTGTTGCTTTGCATGTTGCAATTAATGTGTTTTCTTTTGTGCCTTCCTTCTTCTTAGAATAGGTGGAGAGTCCTTAGCGGTGGCACAAAACACGTATGCAGTCAGTTGGTTTAAAGGCAAGGAGTTAAATCTTGTGTTTGGATTACAGCTAAGCATGGCCAGAATTGTAAGTGTAAAACTGTACAGCTTTAATTCATAGACTTTAAGGTGTGTGGCTTCTCATGGCAGTGAGACAGGTGGAAAACAGCGTTTCTAATCCTCCCTAGCGAGTTTTAGTTAAAAATGGATGTGGAATTTAAAATGTTAAAAATCTGTAGTAAGTAGACAAAGGATACACAAGGAAATGGTTAATAAGATTTCTTAGAACCTGTCAAACTTCTAAAGAAGTCTGGTGGTGTTATTAGTGTAGATTACTGGGTGGGACACAGTGCTGTATTCCATCAGACTTATTGATTCTTGGCATATCATAAAATGTTAGCTTAACTGAGTGTATCTTGGGGACTAAGTGCAGTCTCTGATAAATGAGTGGAGATGGCTGCTTTAGGAAACTCCCATCCTTATCTGCTATTGTAAGATGGTTTTGTCCCTGTTGCTGGTTCTGATAAGAACTGTGTGACTGCATCTCAGCTGTGCTGTTTTGGTTTGATATAATCACTTAAACTGCTGCTAGAGGTGGGTTTATGCTAATATACCAGGCTGTGAATGAAGAGTGGAGACATGCCTCTCCTGTTAGGGGTCCTCTTCAGCAGCCTGTGGTATCTTAAACCGCTGCAGGTATTTACCTCAGTAAAAGAGTTAACTGGTCACAGCTGGGTCTGGGTTGATGTTCAGGCTGTTGCTAATTAGCAGTTGCCTCATCTCAGCTGAACTGCAGTTAAACTGTCTGTTGTTAGCCTTGGGATTGCAGCCATGGATCCCTTCTCTAGGGGGAGAAGGGGAGGAAAAAAAGTACTTCTTGCTGATGCCTCTCAGGTGGGAATCCTGTTTGCTTTAACATGTGGTATTGAATTCAACTCAGTTTATGAGCTAATGCAGTGTGTGATGTAGATTTTATGGCACTGCTAATGTCTCCGTTGAAACACTGTTAGAGTTGTATACAATTTCAGTTTGTGATGATATATTATTGTTGCAGTGGTTGATTTGTTACGAACACTGACTAAACCAGCAGGGAATAATTTTATCATTGTTGCTGGTGGTTTATGTTCCCTCAGACGATGTTTAATCTTACTTGTTTGTTTTAAACACTGTTCAATAAGCAGTCTGCCTTATGTTCCTTTTGAATTCATATAATTGTGAAAAATGTTATTCTTCATGTGAGTCTGTTCTGCCTAGGGGAGCACAGTGAACATGAATATCATGGGATGGATATATTCTAGAGTTCAAGATCTTCTGGGGTATACTGGTCCCAGTACTCTTGGGTTAACTCTCATGATAGGTCAGTAATATTTTGAACTGATGTCACCTGCTATTTTAGGCTTCTGAATTTGAACAGCATGCATATGTGTTAATGATTTCTTACTAACTTGAAAGTAGGACAAATATATTTGAGACTAGGAAGAGCAATTCAAATACTGTTTGTAGCAATGGCAAATATTCTTGTGCAGAGTGTACGATTACTGCACCTGATAAAATGCTGTGTGATTTTTGTGGTTGCCAAATTCAAGTTTTTATCTTATGGAGATGAAACATTTAACATACTTTGAGTAAAGGACAGACTTGAAAAATTTTTTGAAGGGTATCATATCAAAGCTTGCGTGTAGTTGTCTGGTGTGTAAAAATGAAGTTTCAACTGCCTTTGGATCCGTGTTCCTTTCCTTCAGAGCCATGGGTATTAAGGCCCTGGTGCTGGTAACAAGGCCCAGGCTTTGTTTCTGTTATTACGAGCTACAGACAAGAAGCTGGGCTGTGCTGAGTGGGAGCGGTGGTAATGTTTTAAATAAAATAAATGTAGCTACATGTTTGTACTCCAGTTCAAGGCCGATGTCTCATGTGGCAGGCTTCAGTATTTACACCTTACTCTGAGTTGTACAGCTATTGAGCCTTACACATAAGGCAAGCTGGTGTTAAACTTAGTTTGTATTAGATATGTAAAGGTACATGACACTAGTTGTGCTTAAAAGCCAAATTATCGCTTGAGTCAACAGCTAAACATGTCATGTTGCCTTATTGCAGGTGGCATAACGTGTCTCTTTTCACTGACCTGTGCATTAATCCTTGCTTATCTGGACAAGAGAGCGGAGAAGCTCCTTTGTAAAGAGCAAGGGAAAACGGGTGAGTGGTGTGGGAGCTTGAGCTTCATTCTTTCATTCTGGAACAGACCCTTCCAGTTACTCTGTGCACTATGCAGGTTTGCGTTTTAGGTAATTCAGTAGCTGCTGCCTAAAATGTTTTTCACAGTTACAGCTTTAGTCATAATTTTTAGTTCATTTTTATATCAGTAGGAAGTTTTACAGTTTTAAACACCAGTTTACAGGCAGATGCACTGTTGTCTGATTTATCTGTAAAGCATGTGGAGAGCCTCCCGGTTCATACCAATTTGATCTGTGTCATTGCTCCTGGTCCTTCGTTTTGTTGGAATTGGTCTTATTTCCTTTAATAGGTGTGCAAAACCATGCAGCTCTTCTCCATCAATGTGTGGTGTTTTGAGTTTTCCATGTGGGAGAATTTAGACCAATTAAAAATAAACTAAATTTGAGAGCCAAATAAGAGCATGTAACATGAGGCTTCAGACATGAATTTTGCTAGCTGATTAAACATTTCCTGGAAAAAGTGGTTTGTATTTAATTCTGTATAAGACTTTCAGAGGCTTTAGAGAACTTGTGCATGCAGCTTAATGTGGGAGAGACAATTTGTTCTTGACTTTGGCACTGTTGATTTAGCACTTGTATATTCTTAACCAACCCTCACTCTGTAAATGAGAGAGTAGGCAGTGGCAGAAATATATGCTTTAGTTGTGACTTGTGATCACCTTAATGTTTACTCAGTGTGGATGAATTTCAGATGTGCTTATGCTGACTGAAACAATATTGTCTCTTGCCCTATTCCAGGTGAAGTGATTAAGCTAACTGATGTGAAGGACTTCTCTTTCTCCTTGTGGCTTATATTTGTAATCTGTGTCTGTTACTATGCAGCAGTTTTTCCTTTCATTGGACTTGGAAAGTAAGTGTGTCTCGCGTAGCTATTCCCCTTGAATTTGGCTAGGGTCTTAACTAGCTACTTACAAAGGGAGAGGTGCAGGGTAATATTTAAGATTCTCAGGTGGCTACAGAACCACTGGTCTCCCAGCAAGTCTGTGCCGTGGTTTGTCATTTCTTCTGACGTGGGATAGGACAAGGGGTTATGGCTTTAAACTGGAAGAGGGTAGATTTAGATTAGATGTAAGGAAGAAGTTTTTCACAGTGAGGGTGGTGAGGCACTGGCACAGGTTGCCCAGAGGGGTTGTGGATGCCCCATCCCTGGAAGTGTTCAAGGCCAGGTTGGACGGGGCTTTGAGCAACTTGGTCTAGTGGAAGGTGTCCCTGCCTGTGGTGATGGGGTTGGAACTAGATGACCTTCCAGTCCAAGCCATTCTATGATGCCTATTTTTTCCTTGTGCATGTATTCTGAAAATTCTCACTTCGGTCTCTTACAGTACGCTCATTGCTAATGTCTCATTATTGGGTTACATGTTGGTTATGTACTTTGGATGTTTTCCCCAAAGTGTAATTTGAATAGTTCTGAGACAAAAATGTGTAGAGTCTGATAATAAGCTCCTAAATGCATTATAACTGAGGATCTGTGATGGGATGTTTATGTCAAAGCTATATAGATATATTTAAAAGCTTCCTGTAAACTAGGTTCTTGTGTCTTTACTTTGTCTAGCTTTATTTTTCTTTCATGTCATAAAAGTATGCATTTTTCTAAATCTGCTTTTTTTTTTTCTTTAGGGTTTTCTTTATTGAGAAATTCAGATTCTCATCTCAAGAAGCAAGTGCAATTAACAGGTATATTGTGGTTGATTTAATAAGTAAGTGTGCTGCTGCTGTGTTCTAGGGGTGTATGTATCTTTGGGCTCTGACCAGGTGGGAGGAGGTTTGGGATCTACTGTTGCAGGTGGTGACTTGCATTTAAGTGGCTAGATAGATTTCACATGGCTGAAGGAATAATTGGGAGGTGTGGGTAATTTTTTTTTCAATAAAAATGTCTTAGATGTTCACACTGAGGAATTGGAAAGAAAAAGCTCTGTCTGAGGGTATTATTTTGGTATTTGGTGATTCTCTTCTGAGTGATCAAAGAAGTTTAATAGCAACACTAAATGAACTTAATTTTCCTAGTTTAAAGATGAATTTGTGATGTGTCAAAAAACCAAAAAAATAAAAACCAACAACAAAACACTTGCTGGTTTATGATTCCAAGAGCTCCAAGTATGTCACTGTTTCCTTGGATGTTGAGTGTTTTCGTGTCCTCAGACCATTTGGGAATTTTGAGTTTTGGTGTCTGTTGTTCAGGGTGGGGTTTTTTTGTGTGGTTTTGGGTATGACCTTACAGGTAACAAGGGAATATGGTATTTTATCTGGAGACACTTGTACTATGCAACACCTAAAGCTGTCCATGGCTCGATAGTGTTCAGTTCTCTTATTTTTATTCTTTTGTAGTATTGTGTATATCATATCGGCACCCATGTCCCCAGTCTTTGGACTCCTGGTGGATAAACTTGGAAAGAATATTATCTGGGTTTTATGTGCTGTAATAACTACACTTGCTTCTCATATTATGTTGGCTTTTACCTTCTGGAACCCCTGGATAGCAATGGTAACTAATTCTCTGAGACTTATAGCTGAGTATGATAAAATAAGACATGAAGTTAATGCTGAATTATTCTGCATAAGTTGCTACTGTCTTCTGACTGTTTAGGTAGTCCTCAAAACCTATTTTTATATCCCTGACTTTAAGAACGATATGCTAGGTGAAACTGAGCTTAAATGGTGAAAAAGCAAAGAATGCATAATACAGGCAAGACTAACATGAGGTATCTGTGGCCTAAAGATAACACTTCAAGTTTTGGTGTTTCGTGGAGGGAGGCAGTAGTTATGCATGTGTGTTTTGAGGTGGAAAAGACTGGCTGCTGCTGTCTGTAGCAGTAATTCTGTAGTTGTTTAGTGCAAAAGGGTGTTCAACTTCTCAGGAAGAATGAGATTAGTCCGGAGAGCTGTATGGAGTGACAATTCCGTGTCCCTTCCGAGAAGGACTCAGTTTATCACGGTATCTGTGGTTCGGTGGTGCTCTGTTGCAGAGTTCTGCTCTCACGCTTCAGGGATGCTCGTTACACAGGCTATTACTAGATTACTTGTGCTAGGTGCTTGCTTTTCTCCTAAAACTTGTTCTTTTGGTAGAGTTCTGAAGCTTATGACTATTACTTAAACTGTCTCTAATGTGCTGTATTGGACAGTGGTAAAACTCAATAAAAAAATTTGTTACTGATTTTCCTCTTCCTAGGGCAGATTCTCTGAGAAATTGCTTTTGAACTAAGGTTTACAGGCTTAAATACAGTGTTCACCAGTGTATTGGGGTTTAAAAATAGGGTCCTTGTTTTTCAGGTATTTTTTCTAGTGAGTTGCAGCATTGATCTTTTCCTCTGGGTATTCAAGTCAGGCTCTTTACTTAATGCTAATTAGATAGGGTTTAGTTCGTGGGTCACTCCTGGAAAAAGTTCTCTCTCCTTCTAGATGTGTGTATTTATTTAGAATGATATTGCAAAAAGTGTTACTTTAGCTGGGTTTTTTTCCTCTTTTGGGAGAAGAGGAAAACCGGTATGTTCATTTATTGGAACTTTACAGCAAGAATGCATCTCATCTAACATCTGTTTGCTTGTTCTTATTTCACCAGTGTTTGCTAGGACTGGCCTACTCGCTGCTTGCCTGTGCCCTGTGGCCCATGGTGGCCTTTGTTGTTCCAGAACACCAGCTGGGAACTGCTTATGGCTTGTAAGTGCTTAAATCTGCCTGTCTGCTGCTCTACAATGACCATGTCCTGGTGCTATTGAACCACTGAATATCGAGCGGTTCTAACATGTTAATGGTTCCTAATTCCTCCAAATTCGGTCTAGCAGGAAGTCTCATGTAGTTTCAGGATGTATATGTGTGGTAGAGCATGTGGTTGTGGTAGATGCACAGAAACCTCTGCAAAAATGCGGAGTCACGACTCTGTCACATGCTGTCACAAATGGGGAGAAGTTAAACTCATTGTTTGTTCAGTGTCACTAATGATGTTTTCTTTAAAAATAAATTTCTGCACAGCGGTAATCCTTTGTTTCTGTGTTAGTATGCAGTCTATCCAGAATCTTGGTCTGGCAATTATTGCTATAGCAGCTGGGATGATTCTGGACACAAGAGGATACTTATTTCTTGAAGTCTTCTTCAGTGCTTGTGTTTGCCGTAAGTATTACGAACATTGAAAATGGATTCTGTACATTCAGGAAGCTTTATTAGGCTTTTTTCTTAATATTTCCTGTAAAACAGTAATACCTCCTTTCTTACAGTTAGATGGGGGTTTCAACTGGGACAATATTGAAAGTAATTCAAACCTAGAAGTGTTCTGTGGTTTTCTTGAAGCGATTTATTGTAAGTAGTTTCAGTGTTTTGAAAAAAATGAAGAGTGAGTAAAAGGGTGGGTGAATGATACTCTTAAAGGCTATGTTTGAGGGCTGTTATTAATATAACTAAAAGTAGAATAACTTTTTTTGAGTTACCATGCTACTTATGAGCATAGTGGAATTTTCAAAAGCAGTTAAGAGATGCTGCTGGCAAAAATCTCCCCTCAGTTACAACTGTTGTGAAAAATATTAGTTGTTGCTTGGTTGTATGTTAAAGCTGTTCTTCTGTCATTGTTGTAAATTTATTTTAAATTTAATTTAAATTTAAACAGCTAAAACTGTTCCTTTTATTTTTTGTAGTGTCACTAATTGCTGTTGTCATGCTGTATTTTGTCAATCACCTCACCGGTAAGCAAGTGTTTTCAGCTTCTCTTGATATTTGTTTTTATTGTAATTCTTGAAGTTATCAAGCTGAACTCTTTACAGGTGGTGTTGTACGGTCTTGTGTTGGGTGCTGTAGCTCATGGCTTTGGTACCAGGAGCATCTCTTGATGAGGCCTGTCCTTGTAACATCGTCTTCGTAGATGCTGTAGTGTGTCATTCCCTGAACCTTGCTGTGATGTTAAATCTCATCAGCAGGGCAGTGGTACCTATCCCTTCAGCTGACTTGAACAAACATGTAGGATATTCTGCAGCTTTTTCTAAACTGCATATCAAACTTGACTGTATATGTATCTGCAAATGTAAAAACTTAATTCTGTAGGCTTTCCTTCAAATAGCAGTGTTCTTTCTCAACTGGTTTTTGAAGCAGTAACTACTGAAAGATCTGGAAGGGATATTAATTTGTTTCTTTTAAAGTTGCTTCCACTTTAGTTTTATGGGATGTTATGGTGAGTTGTAGAGAAACTTAATTGTTACTCCACATAAAACTGGATCAGGCTTGGGAGCTTAGTTTGGGTCCTGATTTTGCTTGCTCGGATGATTATGAACACATTGCTCATTCTTTACCTCAGTTTCTACTTTTGAGAATTACTCCACTGTCAAGATATAATACAAAAAGACCAATTTTAAAAGTTTCAAAGTGTATATTACTTCTGTTGCAGGTGGTGATCTCAACTGGTCTGCAAAGAAAAGGGAAAAACTGCAAAAAGTAGCTGCAACTGAGTAAGTATAAAGAACAATAAAGAACAGTGTCCTTATGGAATATTTAACCTGAAGTAATTGAGTAGATTACTGTCTGAAGTCAGTCTCTTTTGTAGGTCTGCCATTTGTATTGAATGTTATTTTCTTTCTTACTTTTTACTAGTAGGAGTTCCTATTCCTGCCTCCTGTGAATGAATAATTAGAGGAATTAGCAATTAATCAGGTGTCCTTTCCTGGCACTCTTCCTTGCTATTTTTCTTTATTTCAGTGGCCTTAAAAAATGTTGTATCGCTTATTTAAAAATGTGCTTGACTTACATGGTGCGTACCTGACACAGTCAGCAGCAAACGTTACCTGGGTTTAATGTCATGTAATGCATGGACCAATTTTTTTTAAGTGTCGTTAAAACCTAGATCTGTCTTCAGAAGAAACTACACTCCAGTCCCTTTCCCTTTAGTTTCAGCTTGCTCCTCTTGTTATTTTATTTAGAAGTCTTAATTCAACTTGTCTCTGAAAACCGAGGCTTGAGTCTAAATTGCAGTGCTAATGTGAAACTTGATTTTTGGTCAGATCTGTGTCATAAATGTTATTGATTACAGTGAAAAGTTTCCATTTTCAGAAAGAAAAGGGGGCAGGGATATTTCAATAAAGTGGAATCCACTTCTTCCTTTAAAAGGAAATGGAGAACTTGGGGTGGGCTTAGGGCAGAAATTGTTGAAATAAGCAAATTTTGACAGTTCATCCAATTAAGCAAACTTCATTCTGTGGGATACTTGCATGTCCTGCTTCCCTCTCTACAGAAAATAAGGACAGTGATGCTCTTCAGAATAGTAACTTAAAAAATTCTCTTGGTCTTGACAAAACATTGGTGACACGTTAAGGGTCTATCACTGTGCATAGCCTAACAGCTGGAATCGGGTACTCTTGTGCTTTAGGAGTGTTGTTTGATCAAACACGAAGGTATGTTACCTGCTATTGGGGTGTTCCCTGAGTTCTACGGCACTGGCTTTAGCCCCTCTGCACAGTAGAAAGTTTATTTGCCTTATTGTTTGCTATCCGAGAATGCTAAATGAGAGGTAAAGCTCTCAATGGATATGGAATGCTGTACAAGGGAGTCAAACACCGTGTTAGTCTTAACTTTCAAAATGCTTGCCTTGTATTGGGGGAAGAGGAGAGAAAAAGCATTGTATGGCAAAGTCCATTAGGAGATGTCACCTTAAAGGCAAAACAAAGGACACTTCCACTCCAGCTTTTCCATTATCTACTTAACTGTCTAGAAAAGTTGCTTTTTTTTAAGTAGACATAATGTAAAGTCTGTCCATCAGACTGAGTTTGGGTAGCTTAGTTTGTCCTGATGATCTTGTTGAAGATGCTTCTTCTAGTAGTGTCTCAGCACCCAGAAACTGTGTTAACTTTTCCTAGTTCTAATTAGTGCTGTGAGGATTAAAAATATGTGCATTGGAGAATGTCATGTCAATGGGGATGAAGTCTTGGCTAATTTACTGATTTTTATTTTTTTAATATATTTAAAGCAAATGTTTAATTTACTTAAGGGTAGAACAAGTTTAAGAAATTTGAGGTTCTGTTCTTCCAATCTGAATTTGTTTTGGTGAGATTGTGATTGAGAACTGTTGGACAGGGCGCAGTATATGCATTTCATGACTCTAGTCACAGTTTAACCTTTGTCATGTGAAAGAGTATGTCAATATGTAGCAAGTCACACCTTTCAAAATAACATGGGTAGAATTCAAGCTGCTTGTGTGTGAACAACACAGAATTTTTCTTTTGAAATGCTTTCTGTTCTGACCTAATTCAGCTCAGCGAGTCTCTTCAGATCTTGAAGTTCATTTGCCTGTTCATTTACTTTTTAATAGGTAACTACATTTCACCTGCAGGTATTATACATCTCACAGCTTATAAGTTTGTTCCAGATAAATACTTGACTATAACAAGACACCTCTTATAAATGGACTTTATGGACTTTTCTAAAATGGGACTGTGTAACTGTCCATATGATGATACTTAAGTTAGTCTTGAAAAAAAAACAAAATGCTTGTCAACAAGGTGTAGCTAGGTGACTTGTGGGGTTTAACATGGTTTTGTTTCTTGTGTAAAAAGCCCACAAATTAGGACATCAGTCTTGAGGAAAGCTCAAGGAAACTAAAACCTCACCAGACGTGGTGAGCTGGCTAGCTTAGTTGTAATGAGAATCATCCTCGAGCTGAAAGGTCACAGCCAGTTTTTAATACAAATGCAACAAAACTCCCCAAACCTTGTACCCAGGAGCAAAGGAATTCTGTGTCCAAATAGAGTTGCCTTTCAATCTGCCTGGCCCATGCGGGGTGTGTGTAACACTTCCAGGACTTACTGTGAAAGATGGCTTTGTATTAGTGTATGCTGTGGGATATAGTGCCTTAGAACAATTATTTTCAGTAATTTTTATTACAATGTTTTTTTCAGAAAAGAAATTTGAATAGCAAATATCATCCAGAAGTGGGGAGCATTTGATGATCAGCATGTCAACTCGAAGAATTATAGTGGTGTTTAGTTTGGTCACTCTGCACAGTAGTTTTTTGGAAAAGAAACTAACATGCTGGGGATTTTACAGTAAATGGCTAAATTTTATGCTTTGTAACCGGTTTGAACTAATGGCATATCACCTCTTAATTTGCACAGAATGGGTTTTATAGCATTTTGCACTGTGTTTAGGCTCTGTCATTGGAGAGGGTACTCTGCAACCTGAGACAAACATGTTCAGCGTAAGATAAAGACTAGTTAGTACGAAGTGTCTTTTATGTGCAGTGCTACCATCTTGGTGGGGGTGGAGGTTTCTTAACGTAATGGCACTTTATGTTCTGTAATAAGCTCTGTAAGGCAATGAGCCTTAGAAACGGGTCACTGTTACTGCCTTTGTCACTGTCTTAATGCAAACCACTGTCTTAAGCTAAGTGTATTTAGAGCTTGCTTTGGTTCTGTTTCTCATATAAGTCTTAAAAGAGAAAAGAGCGACAATGCTCTGGTGAAATAGTGACTGTCTTGTAGGAGACTGCTATTAATTCTGAAGACTGCTGAGCAGTCTTTTATTAGCTTTTTTGACAACTGATTCCTTTTGTATTGTAACCTTTATTTTAAGGAGTGAAAGCTTGTTTAATAAAGAGATAGTAAAAATTGTTACAAAAGCGCACTGAGCGTGTTGTAATCTGTGAAAACCAAAAGGTTTATCTTTCTATCGAAGTCTTGCAATCTAAATAAAAGGAAACTGCAGAAAACAGCCTCTCTCTTTCTTTACACTGAATTAGAGTAATCCGTACACATCTCTTAGTCTCTTTTAATCTGATATCCAGTATTCATCTATAAACATTACAAGCATTTTCTAGTTATTAAAAATAAAACTGCATACACAAGATAAAGTTGCTTGGGTTTGCACTCCTCAGTGCAAATATCTTAAACCAATTTTCTTTTCCAGAGCGGAAGAACAAGAGAGACTCAGACGTCAAAATGAAGAAGACTTGGCTAAATTACGGCCAAAAGCTGATGCATTTAGTTTAAGGAATAAGTACCTCTCCAAACTAGGCGCTCAGGTATTAGTAAAAAAGTAGGGGGTTTAATAACTAAGAATAGAACAATGAGATGTTTACTTTAAGAACTTGGGCTTATTGTTTCAAATAGCCAGCAAGTCAACCTCTGATTAAAATGCTAAATATATGCTTGTTCTCAGAAATGAAGTCTCACCAATGGTAATTAAAAATCTAATGAAGAAAATGAGAATGAATCAATGGCTGGTGAACCAAGTAAGTTGAGGAGCAGGCTTATTATGATGCATGATTTTTTTAAAATTATTTTTTGCAGCTACCAGATAATTACTCTTCCTATTTATCGACAATGGCACACAGAAGCATCTTGAAATAGCATCTTGCCCCACTTGCAAAAGCAGAAATACAGTGAAGTCCTGGTACACAAAACTTTGTTTCCAGTCCTGACAACTACCGGAGCAAAAGCAGAAAGATGCACCATACTTTTCTGCAAGTGTAGATACTATTTTTAAAGTACTTGGCTTAAGCTCCCCCTCTGCACTGTGGGTAAATAACACAGATACTGATGAAGAACCATCTGGCTGTTTATTTGAACCCATGAGCTATGTACTACGCCCTTCTGTCTAAAATACTCAGTGAGTAGCTCGAGTCAATAGCTAAGACTTGATCTTTTCTCACTACACAATGATGTTTGAAATGGGAAAGCTTTGTTTCAGTAATAAAATTGCTGTGAAATGAGCCTTGATCTTGGTATGGGTTATATAGCCTCTCAAGTTGGACAGCTCTGTTTCCATGTTGGAAGTGGCCTGTTTCATTTTTCTTATAGAAAAAACGTGAGAAAAGAGTACCTTTCTATTTTGATCCAACCGAGTATTTCAGGGGAAACTAAACTATACAGTTTCAGTGTTAGCTCAAAAAGTGCTAGCCCTGGAACTTGATACAAAATCACAGGCTTAGCAATAAACCTCATGTAAATCCTGATTAATGTGAAAATTTGTGTATTTTTAAGATGTTGTGACTAAAAATGATGAAGAGAGTTAAATGCAGGAACTGAAGTTTGGTGTTCAGTGGAAAAATGTTCAATTTCATAATGAAACTTAACGCTTTCCCATAATTTCAGTGAAAGGCCTGTTGCTGAATAGCTGGTTACTAGCAACTCCTGCAGAGTGCGTTGTTCTTTGTGTTGTGTTAATGATAGAGGCTTGCTTACATAATTGGACAAACTATTCCGAAACTAAGCTAATCTTACTTTAAAAGGCAAGAGTATCTGGCTTTCTGGAGCACTAGGTGCACCAAACAAAACGCTGCTACGGAGGTAGAGGATAAGGTGCACAGGGGTGAGGGAGCTTTCCTTGGCTGACTGCAGGGAGTCCTTGTGTGCCACGAAAGGCTTCAGACCCTTTGGCGAATTGCTTGATGCAGAGAAAGTAGTTTGCTTTAATAAAATGTTGTATTATACCTGTAATAATTTTTTTTGCCTGCAGTAATTTAAGCAGACCTTCTGGAACTCATGGTCTTAAGGATTTTTTAAAGCTGCTTTTCAGTGGAGATTTCTTTCTTGTTCCTGAAGCGCTAAGGTCATCTTCCTGAAAGACTAAGCCAGGACTATTTTGGTTGATAGTTCTGTATTCTGGAGAACAATCTGGGAAGATAAAGTATCGGGTTGTGAACTCTGCTGAGCTTACTGCTGAAGGGACTGACCTGTGATCATTTTTATTGGTGCTCTCTGTGCTCCCTTTGAGAACCAAACGCTCTCAGCTCTGAGACTGGTTGATGCAAGTTGGTTTATGTTTCCTTGTTGACTTGTGAATTCTGGGTCTTTTTAATAAAAGCTTTAAATGGATCCTGGCACCTGTATTTTTCTTACCTGACTGTTTAGTGATGTGTTGTTGCCCTTCGTGGTTGTTGAGACTTACGTATGTATTTTTTTTAAACAAGCATGACTTCTGCTTCCCCTTGAGAAATATGTAGAGTTTCTGGGGAAGTGTATCTTTGAGGATCCAAAGGCAAAGTTTCCCCCAGTTCTCCCCCCCTGCCCCTGATGGGTTGATGCTTTTTTTTCCTTTCTTGGGGAGGGAGGGATTTAGATTATTGTTGCTCTTCATTTCCAACTACCTGGTTCTCCTCTAATTCTGATGTGGTATAGTTGTAGATAACTACTGCTGTTACCTGTAGGTTGGCATTTCGTGTGTGACATGACAGACAGTAACTGTGAATTTAATGTCGTCTTGAAACTTTATTTTCGGTTCCTAAACTCTCTGTACCCTTGAGCATCTTGCTGAAGTACAGTGGCGGACTTCTGCAAATGATGTAACCTCACGTGTCAGCTCAACTCCAAACACCCTGGCTTTTCCTTTCTGAGGGTTTTCAGCCCAGCAATTTTTACCTTGTTTTTTCGTTTGTGGATATGGAGCATGGAAGCCATCTGGCTTTTGTTCCCCTATGCCCCATTCCTCTAATAAATTTCTGGTAGGATGGAGCCTTCCTCTTTCTATTGCCAACCCTTTTGCTTCCAGCCCTGTGTTAGAAAGTCTCCTGCTGTGTTTGTGCTTCAGACCTTCAATGCATACTTTATAGGCTGGGGTTGATCATCAAGAGGAAAACGGGAAAAGGGATTTTTGAATTCTGAAATGCAATTTATTTTTGATAGAGGAAATCTGTTTGTGATCGTTGTGGGAGGAATAAGGCCAGCAGCTACAGCACCCAGCAGGCCGCCTGCCTTGGCCAGGGAGGGACTGTTTGAGCATGGGCTGCTGGAGTGTTATTTGGCAATGTCTGCACGAGTCCTGTTTGCAATGAATTTGGAATGGCTTGAGCTGAAAGCTGCTTATCTTTATAAGACTGCCTTTTTTTCCCCTGCAAAGCTTCCCTTAACGGCTTCTACCCCCACTAGCTTGAGAAGCCGTTGGTACAGTATGGCTTTCCTGACTTTTTTATTTTTAAATACAGAGTTTATGGGTTGGGCTCTGCTTCTGGACTGCAGTGGTCTGACTGAATTCTGCTAGTGGATATGCACACTTGTCTGGAGATGTTTATAGAAGAGTTAGTAAATATGGTAGTAAACAGTAGTTCAACAGAATATTTTATTAAAATTATCTGGGGAAATTTCAGAGGGAGGTGTATCTTAGGAAGGATATAAATGGTGTTACCCATCTCTCTGCTATTACTTCTGCTGCTCACGTGGGGTACCCCCAAGGCACGGGGGACTCCCAGAGCTGCTCTGGCTTTTGGGTGGTTCTGTTCCTTTCTATTGGGGGTGTGTGTTTTGTTTTGTTTTGTTTCTTTTTTTTTTCTTCTCCTTTGACATGTCTTTTCTTCAGGGGCTATCGCTGGGTGTTCCAATAGGCTTTCTCATTCTTATTTCAAAAATTGGTTGATATTCCATTGCGTATCTTACCACTGTAGATGCTATGCTCTCTTACTGATTCTTCTGTTGTGCAGATCGTCAAGCAGACAGGCAAAGCAGAGCTGTTCAAATGAGCTGTGTCCCTGAATACTGTGAAAAATCTTTATTCCTGATATGTTCACGCTGCGTTCTGTTGGATGGGACAGATGTGTATTGGCGTGAATGGGAAGCCAGAAAGTCCTAGACTTAAGTACGCACAGCGTACTGTTTCATGCAGACCTCTTCAAAAGGAAATGTTTAAAGCATAGAAATACTCTGTAAATATTTAAACTTCCCATGCATATGAATCATGAAATATCTCTTTCAGACATTCAGTAATGGAGTAGCTGCGCGAGTGACACTGCGGTGCTTCAGATCTTGCAGTGTTCTCCAAGTACGCAAATGTTTTTGCACATTTGAGATTTTTTCATAAATACTGGTCACTAAGAACAACAAAAGCATTTGTGCCATAAAGATAGTACTTATGACCAAGCTTCTTCTCATCCAGGACCTTGGGAGTGTTATAACAGCAACGGTAGCGAACTCTTCTTCATCCTGAACTTCCCAAGAAGCCTGTTTTTGAGGTGGCCCCAGAGCAAGACAGCAGGAATGGTTTTGTTTGTCATTACCCACGAGGAACTGTGCTGAAACCAGCTTGCGTGGCCTTCTAAACAGCTGTCAGAAGTGGTGGGTTTCAGTTGTTACCAACCTCGGCTGAATTTGAATCAACAGATTGGAAATTCAAGCTGCTCTGTCTCATTGCCAAGCCTCCGTCTGCTGAATGTTGGAGAAAGAAATCGAAGCAGCTTTGGCTGCCTGGGTGGCTTAATCTGGATTCCCTGGTTGAGTTTGCCCATGTTACTGTGGTTACACCAACCATGCTCGGGTGGGGAGAAAGCAAATGCTCTTCTGTCCAGAGTTCGATGGAGGTGATCTGGAACACCTGAAGTAACAGGTTTGGATTTTGTTTTAATTAAATAAGGAAAAAAATCTTCATAAAATAAGACAAAGTAGTTCTGTCTGTTTAGTCTGGGCTCTGGCTTCTGTCAGCATATGTAAAATTAGATAGCTGAGGCAGTTACCATGTCCTGTCCATCTGGTCTGCCCTTCTGAGAGAAGCTGCCACTGCTGTTGCAGAGGTGACTTGAAAAACATTACCTTTTTTTTTTTTCCTAATTTTGAGTTCTTTTTTGCCAAGTTCCTTGAAGTTGAGTATTACGAAAAGGTTATGAACAAACAGGACCCAGTTTCTTGGCTTTTCCTAAGCTTGCTTTCTGCTACCATGTCTCTGCTGCTTCTCGGGCATATACTGTGAGTGCTTTTCTGCTGTTTTTTGATTCTGATGCTTGTGTGGATGTGGTCAGGCAGTGTCCCAGCTCGATCATTTGTTGTCAGCCTCTGAGACAATTCCTCTTACTCTTGTAATGTTTTCTAGGTCTCCTATGGCTGGCAGCTCCTGTTGTCTTACCTTGCTTCTTCTCTGAATAATTGCTGCTCCCAGCTGGCTTGAACGAAGGGGTGCGACTCAAATATTGTGGGCAGCAATGGGTCTACAGTTGCCTGTAGCTCAAATACGGGTTTGGAAGCAATTAGCAATTTCGAAGAACAACAACTCAAATTATATTTCTGTTACGGTACTTGCCGAGGTCCTTATCAGGTTCTTGCACGTTAAGGTTTGTACAGATAGTCAAAGCTTGCTCCTATCTCGTTGCGCCCATGGCATTTAAACAACATGTAATGGGGTTTGACATTGTGGGAGGGAAGAAATCAGAAGTTCCCTATTCGTCTGAGCACCAGCTTGGCTGTTTTATTGAGCTGCCTTTGCAGAGAGAACAGGTTTCTGAGCCAGACCGTTACGGCAGTGACAGTGAATGTGCCGTAGATGTGACCATAGGAACAGCGTGTTCACATTTCTAATTGCCTTATGTTAGGTAAACCCCCGCTTCTTGGCTAGTGAACCCCCCCAAAACCTTTGGCTCCTGCTGGCGTTATGATCTGCAGGACACCTAAGCATCATCTGATGATGCTGTGGAGAATAATTCTGTTACCTTTTCTGAAATGCACTACATGTAATGTAAAAGCCTCTCTTCATAGTGCGTTTATTCACACAATAAATTCACGCTATTTGCACAATAGTCTTGGCAAGCAACAGAAGGGCTTGCTACCCTTTAGCGAAGGTGCTGATGTGATGGACCCTGCCAAGGAAATAGTAGCGAGGTGGTAATCATCCTTGAAGTAGCTTTTTGAAATAATGCTCATAGCTTTTTAAAAATTTGTTACCTAACTAATGGCTGGAGATGACTGCTTACCTCTGCTCTGGTGTCTTCCTCAGTTATTCACTATCATTTTTCTTTACAGCCCTCTTTACAACTAGAAGCAGTAGATGTGCCTTTTGGAAAGGGTGTTTTTCAGCTTTATTTAGTCACAGCTGGCCCCGGTAACGATGACAACTTGCCTCTTGGTCCTTTATAAAAATACCTCCTGTGTTCTTCACCCAAATTTGACCTCACTGTGGTTTGCCCTCACTCTGGGGGAATCGTAATTATACTTTTTTTTGTTGTTGTTGTGCAGGTGAGTTTTATGGCTGTTCTCCAAGCTTCACACCCAGCGAAGTGGAACAAATCCGCGGTGCTATGCGAGGGCAGCAGGGATGTGCTTCCTCAGCAAGGGGCAAGTCTTGGGGCGTCCGTCCCCTCTGCGTTCGTGGCAGGACTGGCAAGAGGACCTGCCGTGGGCAGTCTCAGCTCCAAAGCCAGCCTGGCTCTGTTAGATTGACCAGAAAGAAAGTAGAGGAGGGGGTTGATGCAGCTGTTGAGGCTCACCAGTGGCCTCCAGATCTTGTAAAGCAAACTCCAGCGCTGTAGGAGTTGGCAGTCGGCTACCCGGTACACACGGACGAAGAGGTAGATGCTGCGGGTGATGTGGAACGGCAGTAGACAGACCGCAAAAAGCCCGCAGACGAGGAGAATGGTTCGGATCGACTTGGCTCGGGCAGCGCTGCCGGCGGGGTTGGCGTCTCCGGCGTGTTGCGTGAGGCTTCTGATGGTCAGGCATAGCAGGCTAAAATGACGAGGAAAGGAAAGAGGAAACCAGACGCGGTTAGAGCCATGCCGTAGGGGAAATAGCCGCTGAGGTTCTCGGGGCTCGTCATGTCGTAGCAGACGGTGTGGTTGTTGATAACGCCGGTGCGAGCGTAGATCAAGGTGGGCAGGAGCTGCAGGAACACCAGCGCCCAGGACGTCGCTGTGCCGGCAGCGGCCAGGCGCCGGGTCCGGTAGGGTAGGGAACGGATGGGATGGCAAATGCCTAGAAAACGATGGATGCTGATGCAAGTCAGCAGCAGGATGCTGCCGTACAGGTTGGCGTAAAACAAGAAACGTACCAGTTTGCAGAGCAGCTCTCCGAAAGGCCACGTGTCCTGCAGGAGGTAGTTGACGATGAGCAAGGGCAAAGAGAAGAGGTAGAGGAGGTCGGCCACGGCCAGGTTCACCAGGTAGATGGTGGTGCAGGTCCAGTTGGCGCGGCAGCAGCTGAGCCGCAGCATGGCTCCGTTGAGGAGCAGCCCCAGCACGAAGACGGAGCTGTAAGTAAGGGGTAACAAGATGTATTTGTAGCTTTCCACGAGGGGGCACAGAGCCTTCCCGGAGGTGCTGTTCTCCGTTCCCTTCGGCCCCTCCATCGCTGGGTGCAGCTTTAGGCACCGTGCACCGCTCTTCTGTTGCTTTAAAGCTCTCCCCGCCAGGAATAGAAACACGAACACCCGACAGTCATTTGTTACTCTCGGCCCTTGGCTCTCGCCACCACAAAGAAACGTGTAAAATCCTAATTAAAGCACGCGCAATCCTCTGAAGAGGCGAAACCGCCATGGAAATGGTGCGTCACTGTTACCGCTTGAATTCCACCAAAGCAGCGACTGCTGCAAACGCTTGCTGGTATGCCCTTGGGCACCGGCACTGTATTGCAAGGGCAGTTAAATGAAGTTTATTGCAAATGCGGGCTCTGCCACGGGCTGGAATTCCTCTGAGCTTCAGTTACTTTAGGGGGGCAGTTGAGGGAAGGGCTGAAGCGAGCACGCGTTTTGCAAGAGGCAGTGCCTGGAACTGCGGCTAGTTTGGCATTGCCCGCAGGTTGGTTGGGAAGAGGTGAATTTACGGCTTGTCCATAGCAGCAACAAGAAAAACAAACTTGATGGATAGCCGCAGGCGGCCTTGCTCGCTGGGGTGGAGGCAGAGCCAGGCTGGGGAGGGGTTTTCTCAAAATGTGTGTTCGCTGCAATCCGAGAAAATATGGATGTCATTTCTCTTTTCCCAAAGGAGTGGAGAAGAGACGTTTTTCTGCTTTCTGGTGTCCTCTTGGGTCCATTTAGAAAATATTAATATAAATTGTATAGACTAAATATATTTTTTTAAGTTTGTACCCAATATATTTTCTGAATCTCCCAGAAAAGCAAGGGAACCAGGAGGGGTTCATTAGCAGGCATCCTGTTCTAAAGCGGGCAAGGATCAAACTAAACCGAGAAATGACTGAATGCCTTTTTGTTCTTCATTTAGGGGAAAGCTTGGTAACTTCTGCGTGTGGTCACCTCAGCCAGAACTGTTGAAGAGTTTTCTCCTGGCAGGAATGATGACGTGCATGTGCTGGTGAGCCTGCCTGATTTTCATCTACCTGGGATGCTCGTTTCGCACTCTTGCACCAGTCCCTATTTGGGTTTGTCTCCTGTTGTAAATCAACAACGTGACCCCCTCGTAGCATCTCTGTCTGAGCCTGCGGGCTCCTGGGTGCTTACATTGCTCCCGAGACCTTCCCTTGCCGTGGATCGGGCGGTGAATCGGGCGGTGGAGGGTCCTGGCTCTTCTCTGCCCAGCTTCTGCCTGGTCGTCGTCCTTACTGCAAAACCCCGCCAGGCACGCACTGGCCCCTGAGTATGGAAAAGGGTTTTAACCCACACTAGGTAGTGATGCAAATAACTTACCTAACTTAAATATCTTAAAATCAGTACCTTACTGCTTGGCTTTTGAATTATTGTACCAATTTCCTCATAATCTGCTTTACGTAGCTTGAGCAGCAAACCTTCACTCAGGTGTGTCTTTAATATTTTGATCCTCTGAAAAACTGTTTTGTGTGATAAGTATGCGATGTTGGCGGTATTACCTGGGAATGAGTGCCCGGGGTGTCTGGGGGTGCTCACCCTCTGAAGGTGGGGGACATGGGTCTGGGCTGGTGGAGGAGGTCAGGAGGGAAGGGGTGAGACGTGAGGTTTATCCCAATAAATGCTCCTGTTTTATGGGCTATCTGTCACTAGAGGTCAGCACTGCAACATTAATAGACAAGAAATGCTTTCTGTATTAGGATGAAAAGTCTTATTTCAAGGCTGCAACTGCTGTCATTCATTTCTGTCACTTATTTACATGACTTTGGAGGTTGGTTTCCAAAGACAAATATTAATACCAACAGTCTTCAGCAGGAAGAGGTCGCTTCTGTTTCTTCTCATGCAATTAACCGATGCTGTTGCCATCCCACCTGATAGGAACACAGCGATGGCTGCGGCCGCTGTCTCGGCTTTTTGGTGGACGTGCAGCAAACTGTGGCCCCTGGTTCCCGGGACGGGTTCCACCGCAGCCCCCTCCCCAAACCGGAGCTGTCGACTGGCAGCGTTGGCATCCTCAGCAAAAATCTTTTTTGACCCCCAATCGGATGTGTTTTTGTGAAGCCTGAAGTTGCATAAAATGATGTAGGTTTAAATTCTAGCTGGAGTGATCCCCGTTGTCATCCATTACGTATACGAAGCGAAGGTATTTAAAACAACCCTCAGAAAAAATCCAGCCCTCTGGATTGGATGGAAAAGGAAGGATTGGTCAAAAAAGTCCTCGAATTTTGCAGTCTAAGACCCAAATTGTGTCCTCCATAGAGACATAATACTTTATGTGTGCTCAGTGGTTCCTTATATAGCTGTGTGCGTGTTCAGGCACAGGGTGTGCTGCTGGCCCCTTTCACAATCAGGCCTTGGTGTTCCCATCACAAAACCCTCTTGTTTTCTGTAACTTTGCTTCTGTCAAGAGCTCATTCTGTTAGTACAGTTTTGGAGGGTTGCAGCAGGACAGAGAAGCTTCTGCTGCATGGAGTCTTGGTCCAACCAGGTAGTTGGCATCTCCCAAACCCCTCAGTTCTCTTAAATTGAATTTTTTTCCAAGCTGGGTGAATTCTTGGTCTTCTCCATTTCCTTGGGAGTGATTCAGTCCATGTCGTGCAGGCTGCTGGCCTGGGAATAGTTTGTGTTGGAGACCGGCCCGTTCTTCAGTGCGTTACTGAGCGGTTTTGTCTGATCTGGGTGGAAGGGTGCCACTGGAGAGGTTTCGGCTGGGTCCTGTAGCTGGACCTGACCTTTGGAGGAAAACCTACGTATCTGTGGATTTAGGGCTGAAGCCTCTTTGTTCTGCAAGCAAAAGGTGGGGCCTTCCATCAAACAGAAGGGAGGAAATAGTTCCTGTTCTGTTTCCTCTGAACAAGCAATTTCTTCTTTTTCTGGTATTTTTATATAGCATCTGTGGATCTGTGAACATCAGGCTGTTCCTCAAATTATTAAAATCTGTGTTACTGTAGTATCTTAATTGACTTGTTTACAAAGCTCTGTCTGTAGATATAAAACAGCTGTTAATGTCAGTAATTCAGAAATAGTGGAGCTGGTGTCCTGAATTTCTCTTGTCAGCTGCAATGATGATTGAACATAACTGGCCGCTTCAAATTAAGGTAAGTGAAGTAACTGCCTTATAGCAGCTGGGGTGAAATGGCTCACTTATGGCTGTTGCAAATGGATGAAAAAATCTCAGATGTCACTTATGGGAAATTGGTTAACCTACTTAATACTAAAGACTTTAGGACTTTTTTAAAAATTCTACTTTATTCACAGAGCCAGTGAATGTCTACAGGTGATAATTAAATTTTTTTAAAATATAATTTTATAGTTTTAGATACGTGTATTTTGGTGTTTATTTTATAGCATAACAGGGAACAAATCAGCTTAGATCTGTTGGTCAAGATGAGGTCTGTTGGGGAACTGTCTCTTAAAATGCCTTCCCGGTGTTTCCCCATTGACATCTTCCACGCTGGATGGATTTGCATGGGTGTTGGGCAGTCTCTTACAGTCAGTATTTCTGGGTAAATCAACCTGGTAACCCGCGTTTAAAACCATCTTGTTTGGCTTTGCCATTGCTTTAATGTGAGCAGGCTGACTTGGGGTGACCCTCGTTTACTGTCCTGCATTTCAGACCTACCTTGAATATGAGGTTAAGTGTAAAACTTCACTTGCGACGCTTAGGCTATCAGAAACTATATTGCTAATAAGAAGAGCTCCCAAAAGCAGATTTTTCCAGTCTTTGTGTATAAAATTCACTTAAAATAGTTTTTAGTGAGACTAGAGGTGATATCCCAGTGTATGAAATCTGTCAGAAATGATTGATACACATATGAGGAGCTGGGTGAAAATTGAAGGGAAGACGTGGCATTGCCAGGCTTCATTTAAATACAAGAGCTATGCATTTAGATTGATTTATTTTTATGCCAATAGATTCTGACATAAATATAGTGATATATAATGTATTGACTATAATGTCAACATTATTTTAAAGCTGACTCGAGGAAAAATATCTCATTGTTAGTGCTGAAATATAATGCTTTGTTCTGCTGAAGGGGAAAGCCTACGATCAAATAACCTCTTTCTTAAGACCTCTTTTTGTAATGGCTTTTAAAATGAGTGAGTAACAGCAGAGGTGACCTGTCTCGGGGCGCTCTGTGTCCTGAAATTGTTTTGGGACTTTCAGGGCAATAGCAGACTGAGCAGGAGAAGCATGTCCTATGGTGCTGAGGCTGTGGCTCTGCCTTTGCATGCTGTTTTGAAGTATCCTAAACTTGCACCCACACTGCACAGTAGGCTGGCCCTTAGGCTGGCCCTTGGTTTTTAATGATAATCACAGTTTTATAACATGCACTCTGCATGTTGTACTATATTAAACTAATGGGTTACAAGTCTGTTGGCAATGTGCTATTGCCCTGAGCCCATGCTAAGATGTCAAATGACCTTATTTGAATTTTGCTTTGAGGTCTTTTAATTTTTTTTTTTGACTGGTTTTGGAGCTAACCTTGCTAGAGGTGGAGGAACTACTAGATGTTTGAGGGTGAAAGGGTAGCTATTCATTGACTGAACAGTCCAGTGCAAATGGGATTCACTCTTTTTCTTTACTGCCTCTTCTCTTTACCTTCTGTTCTGAATTTTCCGGGTCAAATCTCTGGATGTTCAGTGAAACAACAGGACCAGGTTAACTGGTGTTGGCTGTAGCCATTGGAAGTCAGTGGAAACTGCAGGCCCAGGAGGAATCTTCCAGCCCGCTTCTGACTTAGATCCGCTTCTGACTTAGATCCACTTCTTCCAAATGCTTCTGTATTTGCTTTATTTGCTTTGTTTAAAGAAAAACCCAACCAATACAAAACAAACCAAAACAAACCCACAAGCAAAAAAAAAAACCCCGAAACCCCCAACCCTGAAAAGTTTCTTTTCCATTAAAAACATTTTTCAGCATTCAGCTGATGGATGCCTTGGCGTTCACTCAGTGTAGGTTTGAGAACTTGGCTGTGCGAATAGTGGCGATGCTGGCCCAAGGGTGGCTGCTGCACGCTGGGCTTGTGGTGTGGTCCTGCTGTAGCCCGTGAACCGTAATGGCAGAGATTGGGTTAACTGAAGGCTTTTCTTCTATTGAGTATATTGTACCCGCAGGGCACCTAGATACATATATTTTGGTGTTTATTTTATAGTGTAGGTGCCTTAGGTGCCCGGTGGGTGCAGATGTGCCGAGGACCTGCAGCTCAAGGAGGGGTCGGTAGAAGTTCCACCCGATTATCACCTCTGCAAATCACCGCTGGGTAACTTCATCCCAGCCCCCACAACTCACGTCTTGGTTTTAGGTTGGTCACTTCCATAATGCCGTACCTGTACGTTTTGGTGCATCAGGTACTGTGACATTTCTATTCACATACGAATGATTTTAAAAGTGTCAGATGGAGAGTGCTATACATAGGTGCAAGTTTTTCCCTTTGCATGAAATTATTTTTTATCTTTCTCATTTTCTCCTTCAATTTTTACTTCCACTTTGTACAGGCTGCTGATATAAAGGGTTTATTCATGAGGTTAACCTAATTACTGTCTTCAGAAACAAAGCCTGTTTCTACAGTGAATATCCTTTTGATATCCATCATCTGAATATTGCCTAATAAAGTTAGCAAATGGCCTCCAAATGAACCAAAATGATTCAGTATCTCATCTAGCAAAGAATGTATTATGGTTTTACCGATACTGACAGAAATGTTTAAAATTCTCAATGCATTGCTCTGCTGGTGGATTAATATGCATTTTTCTGTCTTGAGATGAAAAACACCGTCTGGATTTAATGCAACGCTTACAAAATTGCTGATGTGAGTCTCTGTTAAAGCTGTTTTATATACACACTGGAGAGTTTACCGGAGACAACTGGAAAGTTCACTTTGAGTAGCTCCCATACTTGTAATCAGTAACTAAAATGTATTCATGGAGTTGCAAGACTAAAAGGCAAGAATTTAAGTGCCTTCATGTATTTTCCTTGCTTGGAACAAAGGTGATACATTTTTCATGTAAGCAAACCTCCTTGGAGTTGAATATGCTCTGGGGAGATAGTTAAGAAAGATCAATATGTACTGATTTGATTGAGTTTTGACCTGAGCATATGCTCACTGTCCACGTATGGTGATGGGCAGGCTTTAGAGTGTGCGGCTGGTGGCTGGGTCCCTGGGCTGGCTTAGCTGCTGCTGGAGTCATCTCGTAAGATCTCAACGTTGGGTGGACGTGGGGAATGGTTAGTATTTGGTCAGACTTTTCTGGCTTTCTTGTGAGTGTTGGTTTAAGAACCTGACATAAAAGGCGGTTTCAGCCCTTTCTGGTACTTGTCTCAAGACAAATATTGCTTGTTCTCCTCTTTCATTTGTCTTTTTTGGGGGTGGGGGGAGAAACAGAAGTGGTAAGTGAAGACAGAAATGACCTTTTTTCCCCCTAAAGATCATCATTCTATTAAGTGAATTCCTGGACAACAAAATTTAGATTTAGCTTGCCTTCTCTGAAGCAGAAACTGAGCTAATCCTGTTAAAAAGAGTGTAACCGGCAGATTTCAATGTTCTTGCTGCTGCCTACCTGCTTGATTCTTGCAGGTATTCGTGAAGAAGACTGAAGCAGTCTTTATGTTCTTAATTTTCCGTCTTTACTTGGACTGCAACTTTTATAAATAATTGAACTTAATTGTAATATATCTTTATTGGAAAGTATTCATTTACAGGGGAACATTTCAGAAAGCATACTGATGAACTGCCTTGTTCCACTGAGTGCAAAAAATCCAGCATTAAGCGATGATTATGTTCAATGCGTCCAAAGGAAAAATCATTATTTCAGTTACTTCTTAAATAGCTCTCTGGATTGGAAAGAGTATCTGAATTAATGGTAGTTTGGCATCATTATATATTAATGGGCTCCATCTGATTTATTTTTTCTGGCAGTTATCCACTTGCACGATGTATTACGCCTGACCGTTCCATTTCCCCTGCTATTGAGTGGTAGATGGTGGATTAGTACTTTGAGCCTACGAGAGAGGCTGCATGGGAACATAATGGGATCTCGCATCATTTTTAATGGTGAGTTATGGACTGTCACGCAGAATATCTGGACACACTTAATAACTTTCTGATGACAACTGTAACAGACATAACGGTACGTGTTGTCACTGAGCTGCTAGAGAGGCAGGCTCCTGCTCGCCAGATGCTGTTACGCTGCACTGAGTTGCCTTTGTAGATATTTTTGTAATTACAAACTTTTTCCTAGCTCCAGTAGTGCTTAAATAAAAAATTGATCCCATGGAATTATATTGCTGAATATTAAAGTCGGTATTTATTTGCAAGAGTCACTTTGGGGTGCCTAATTTGTCCGCAAGAGCAAGGTTTTCTGCTCAGGCTGCAAAATGGTGCAATAAAAATCAGTGATTGATGTTTATTATCAGATTAAATGGTTTAGCTGTGGGGATCAAAGTTATAAATTACAGCCCTCCCCAAGCTGTGATTGGCCACCAGAGATCTTTCTAAGTGCCAGCGTTTTTTAATGAGATCGTATATTTTCAAGCCTCTAACAGTATCAACTTTTGTAGTTTATTGAAACTGTGCTTAAAATAACAGCTTACCGGGTGTCAGAAATATTGGATATGTTTTGTATTTGCTTGGTCAAACATCCCAGAGGGAAAAAGCATGCGTTAAAAGCAGAGATTTTGATTCCCAAGCGAAGTCTGAGGACTTAAGGAGCATGAGGGATGCCATCCTCTGGCTCTACACTGATGCAATTTTTGCTGCTTCTGTATTTTGGTCATTTCACTATAAACATGGGGCCTCAACGTGCAGCAAAGGCAAATGCTCTTGGGCTCTCCCTCGGGCTGCCTCCCTGGCACGCTGCAAAGAGGAACCATAACCTGGTTATTCATGAAAATTAAATGTTTCCATTCCCCAGTGTCACGGAGCAACTACAACGTTAGCGTAGTATTGGTTGGATCAAAGTTTAATGGTCAGCTTTTCCCCCGGTGGGAGACTGGCCCTGGTGACACCAGCATTTCCCCCCACTGCTCATCAAAGTAGAGGAAATGGAGATTTCTCTAAATGGCAGAAAAATGCAAATGCCCTCATATTATTTGCGTATAGCTGACAGGGCATGCCCTAAATATCAAACGCGTAATATTCAAATAATAGACATTTGATGAAAGGAATACTGAAATAATTTTGTTAGATTGCTCTTAAGTTCTGTGTCTGTAAACTAGCTAAAATTTAGTCTGCCATTAGAGAAGACTAAATTATATTTTGCTACTTGCTATGGGAGATCTGTAATTGGGGTAAAATCTTAACTGTGAAAGCATTAATCTCAAGTACAGTATTGTAGCATCAAATGCATGACATTGTCTTCCTGTCCCCAGGACATTCTTTGTTAGAAAACCATTTGTTTTACTCAAAGGAGGTCTTTTTTCTTTTTACATTAAAAAGTTGGGTCTTTTTTTCCTTGTGGCTGTGTTTACTCTCCGGAGATTCTGATTAAGCAGCTCAGTTCAAAAGAGTTTGCACTGTACAGTCTTTTTGGGGGGGGGGAGAAATCATTAGGTGTGCTGTGGGTATTGCAGCTGCTCAGCTGGGGGGGGAGTTTCAAAGCAGGCTCTTCTTCCATTCCTCCTGCATCAGCACATCGGATGCTCTTCCCTGGGTGCCAGGATAAACGAGGGCCTTTTTCAAAGGTGAGAAAACACTATTTCAAGCGATGTACAAGTATCGCTTGATTTGCAGCCGGTCGTGCAGGTGTGATTTCCCTCATTTCCCTGACGTGGGAAGGATTTGCCCACAGCCCACCTCAGGCGCGGGGGAACCCCGTTTCTGCACCCCGCTTGGTGTACGCTCGCTTTAGCATCGCTGCAAGGACATCGCAGAATGAAGTAATGCTCGCTTTAATTACAACAGGTTCATACGTGGCGTGCTTTGGTCCAGTATCGAGTCAAATTGGCCTGGTTTGTATTTTTCATTATTTTTCTAAAGGCTGAAGTGAGGAGAAGCAATCCGTGACTACTACAGCGGAGGCAAAGCCCGACGCGTAGCAGAGATCCGTGCTTAGCGCTTGCGCACTGGCACGGGGCTGTCGAGGAAGCTGGCCCTCCCTTGGTGCAAGTAGCAGCCCTTGCTGCTGTAATTGCACCTTTACCTTGCAAGCCCTGGTGGAAAATAATTAAATTTCATAAAAGCCTGTCTCGTTTTGAGCCCCTGAGGGTATCAATTAAATGTAATGATGGTAACTGCAGCTTTTAAGCAAATATGTAGGGGTTTTTTTAAAGAAATGAGGTGAAGTCTTTTGCACAGTGTGGAGCTGAAGACTTTATTTTCATGTTCCCACCCCCTCGCTGTAAGTACCACTCCTGTAACGTCTCAGGAGGAGCCATTTATGCCCGAGAAACAGAGGCAGGAAGATCTTGAGGGGGGTTTTTTGGTGGCCAAAGGCAGGTCCTGGAAGTACCAAGCAGTGCCCGTTGTTTTACATTGCTTAGCCGGGATGTGCTGTACGTGGTCACCTTACACTGCCCGAGCCATGCAAATTCGTCATCGAGCATCTTTAGGAGTAAGCCACCATAGATTTTTTTTTCCTAGTGTCTTGCCACAAATGAATGCACCCCCCACCCCGTGCTCAGACGTGATGCAAGGATCTCTATACTTTGGGATATATCCGCTTTAAAAATAAATTAGCGTGGACTACACACCCGATCTGGAGGTTGGCCCCTTCGGAGAAGGGGATGCTCGTCACTGGGCTGCGGCTCCGTTGGCAGCAGCACGAGCTGCTTTATGGGAGCATTCGAGAAGCAGCATACACCTTCTGCAAGGTTGCATCAGAGGGAAATAAACCACCGAAATTATCCTAATAAATTATAATAATTGTGCCTGGCAGCATGCGGTAATTTAAAATAGATTAATCTAACAAGCCTTAAATATGAATAAATAATAAACATCTTCATGCATTGGGAATCTTATTCTGCTTACTTCTGAATGAATATTAATTACTCCTCATAAACTCAATGCAAAAATCGATCCGTGTGGAGAAGGCATGAGGTATTAAGTATACCAAATTGGACAGAGCCCAGATGAATATTCTCATCGTCAATTAAAGTCCGATTACACTGCTGCTCCACTCCGTCACCGGCTGCCTGGTGATGCAAAGCAGGCTTTACAACGGGATCTGTCCTGTCGCGGCTTATATTCGATTTTGTACCCCTTGTTTCCTGGCAGGGTGGGATGGCTGGCTGACCACTGAGCGGGATGGGTCAGGAATTATCTAGCGTCCCCGTGAGAAAGAAGGAAACCACAGGTGATGCTTGGCCACGGTGGCTGGTGCCGGCAGCCGGCGTTGCAAATCCGTGGAGCTGAGAATCGGGATTCTCGCCTCCTGACTTCTGCAGGGATAAATACCGCAGAAAAACTTTCTTACCTGCCAAAATGACCCCTTGGGCCACGGTGACCCACTGGGTAGGGCGAGCCGCGGTCGCAGGCGGTGGTGGGATGCTCTGGTGCCTGTTGCGCCGCACCTTGTGCGTGCGGAGGGTGGGGATTTCAACCGGAGCGAAACCTGAAGACCCGCTCGGTGTTGAGTGGGAACATATGGAAGATGGATGAGAGGGAACATCTGCACCATCTGCTGTAGGGGAGCTCGATCCTTCATCCTCGCACCTCGCCGTGTTGCTGTTGTGTTTGGATGATATCCTTCATTCCCTCCCGTTATTGCCGTTCTCCTAAGGCAAAGTGTTTCCTCGGTAAAATGCTTTGCTTAGCAGTGGACTGCGTTGGGAGCTCCGAAATGGAAATTTCCTCTGCCGCCTTTATCTGTGCGTGGCTTGGGCAAATATATTTTGCCCGTACGCTTTGCCTGTGCAAGTGGGCATCGGGATCTTGTTTTTTGGCGAACGTATGCTGCGTGCCAGAGTGTAAAATGAGCTGGAAAGGATAATCGGGGGGTTTGGAGATGCAACGTCGCGCTGGGGCTGAGGTGGGGAGCTGGCGGGGGATGCTGGCTGCGGCGCGGGGCTTGGTACGGCAGGAGTGATGCTGCTGCGGGGAATTACTGGGTAAAACTGGGTTTGTGTGCGGGAGGGGAGAGCCCAAGGCAGGCACGTCGTGACCAGCGTGCTCCTGGGGATGCAGGGGACGGTGTTTTGCATCTTGGTTTTAAATCGTAAAGCCTGGCAGAGTTAAATGAAGGTCACCGGCTGTAAAAAGTGACGGGGGCGTTTTAAGATGTATCGTAAAATAAGCTGTAGCCTAGAAAAAGCTTACAATGGTATCTGCTGTGGGCTTTGGCCTCCATTTTAAAGCTGCCTTGATCTTTTAACATGGAAGCGTATTTGCTGCTGTTGTACCACGCCTGAGATCTGCAGATACTGTACTTAAAAGTGTTTGGAGGCTGCTGGTATCCTCGGGGTTTAAAGATAAGGGCGAAAGGGAAAGGAGAAAAATATCCTTGTGTCTTCCTGAGGCAGTCCAGGGGCTTCTTCCAGGTGTAGGTTGAGCAGCCGCTCGTGGACCGAAGCGTGCAAGTAAAGGGCATCCAGGAGGGAATGCAGATAGGGAACGGATGGAGAGCACCGGGGGGATGTCGTTCGCCTCCCTGGGGTCTGTTCCTCTGCGGGTTTTTTCTGGGACCTGGGAGTCCAGAATGCCGCTGGTTCGGTCCAATACCCGAAATTACATGGCTGTCCAATGCTGCGGGGAGAGGGAGCGACACCGTGTATGTGTGTGGTGGTGTTCAGGATAAAAATGTATTGGCTGGCAATTGCGCAGAAATCTTTATGCTTTTCCTCTGCCCGTGTTGTCACTCTTTGGTAAGTAGAAAGGTCTTCGCCATGTACTGCACATAAGAAGTGTTATGAGCTAATTAAAAAAGCCGATCAGTCCCCAAATCTAAATAGTTCCCATTTCCCCAGAAACCAGCAATTAGCAGATGTCTGTCTTGCTTTCACCTACAGCTTAAATACCAAAGAAATATCTTCCCTACTTGCAGCAAAATTCGAGAAGCGTTAGCAATCAGCTTTCCGTGCTGCCTTGAATGTTAGAAATGGATGGACAAATACAGCAATGTTTTCTCTAGTTTATGAACCAGATCTGCACATGCATCTTTTCCAAATACTTAATAAAATTTTTCAGAGACTCTTTACGTGAGAAAAGAATTTTTAAATGGAAATGTGAGACCTGAACTTGAGCATGAAGTGAGAACCACCATGGTATCAGCAGGCCAGGAATTAGACTTGAAATAAGATTAGAATAACATGTTTTGAAGAACTTGAAAATATAGTGATTGCTTTAATGTTTGTATGAATTTGATGGCTTTTTGTATTTCTACTTATGGACATTTTCTGAATTTCCTGACAGGTCTTACCGAGATGACAGATTCTTTGGGTTAGTGCCTGTTGTGAGGGCTGTGAAGAGCCTAGGAAAATATCCTTTTGGTACACAAATGGGCTTGCTAAGTAAAAGCACTGCATTAAAAGACAACAAAAGGAGCAGATGATCTATGGGCCAGTTTTCCTTCTGCTTAGAGCATGCAATGGTTTTGTTTACCATTCATCAGCCTAAGGACAAATTCTAGCAGTCACACGTACACATTTTTGCCAAACCTGACTTTTTTCCATTTCATTTAATACATTTCCCCAATCGGCAGATATTGCATTTGCGGGGAAGGAGGAAAAAAAATCAGTTGCAACATCTGCGGGTCCAGGCACGGACAAAGGTTCATTGAGCTTTGGACCGAGACCAGCAGATGCTGTCTCTGCAGATCTTCTTCCCAGGGGAAGGTTTCCCAGCTCCTGCCCTGGGAAGCGGATAGATGGGGATTCGGGAGAGGGGCGGGCGATGGCTTACAGAGCATCCTGAAAGGCACTCGCCTGGGATAGTTAATCGATATCTAAGATCGCCATGGCATTTCCTTGGCGAACCCAAGTACACTTCAACATCCAGAATACCCGTGGGCAGTGGAAGTGCCAGCTGGTTGCTGCTTTCCAGCTGGTTCATTTCTGTTGCTCTGGTTGCAATGTTTCGTCCGTCTTTTGAAGCACCCGTGGCACAGGAGGCAACGATGGTGCCAGCCCTCGCACCCTTGCAGAAACTCCGCAGCAACCGTGTGTTCCCAAAAGCCGCTGTTGATGCTAGCTGGTGATGAAAAAACAAGGAAGAAGTGGGGAGAGTACACAAAAAGGGGGTTGTAGGAGTGGAAGCTTATAGGTTTACAAGCGTCTTTAGAGGATGCTTCATTGTAGCTTAAAGCATTAATTAAATGTGTGGGGGCTTTTTTTAAGATGGGGAGTGCTGGAGCGAGGACTGAGTTGCAGCAGCTCGTGTGGACGTCACAGCATCTGCACTGCTTGGGGACGTGAAGCAAACCAGCCGAAGCATGTACAAAACACAGTGGATTTTAAACATAATTATAGCATAGCTTGTTTTCGTCCAGGGTTTTCTGGAAACACCTTAAATCTGACAGGTCCAATTAAAAATAAAAAATTTCTTGTCCTCCATGCTAACGTGGAGACCACTGGCCATTTTTTACGGTGCAGGGACACGGCTTGATGTCACAGGGACAGAAAGCACTCGTGGTTTTTTTGTTGGTTTTGTTTGGTTTGGGTTTTTTTTTTTTCCACCCAGAGCCTGGTGGTGTGAGTGACGGCTGCCCGCTGCCTCGGCCCCTGCGTGAGTCGAACCGCCGCGGCTGAGCCGCGCTTGCTGCCGTGCGATGGGCTGAGCTCTTGGGCTTTTTCCTGGGAGAAAGCTGTCGAGCACAGTCTGCGGCGGGTGAACCTGGCATTTACAGGGCATCGGCCTGAAAGCTGCGTGTAACCTGTGCTATGGTGCCGGGAAGAATTTAAGTAGCAACAGTATGGTCTAGCTGGGGACTTTTAAAAGCATTTTTGTATAGATCCATTACCAAGGACTTCAAAGAGATTGCGCTTTGGTCTTTGCTGCAAAGGTAACAAAGTGTTATGAGTTTGACCTGTCTGGAGAAGCTGTTCCTTTGCCTTGCTGCTAGGCAAGATTTAAATCCTGCTGCCGTCTTGCATTGATCCCGAATAATTGCTTTAATAGAAGTCCCAGTGTAAACAGTGAGTAGGTTTCTGTCACTCACATAATGAAATTACATATATTTTTGCTGTGAAAGAATTCATCCCACAGCTCGGTGTTGTTTCCCCAGGATGAGGAAGCTCCTTGCTCTGAGGTTGTACGAACCTGCATCCCCCAGGAAAAATGAATTAGGGGGAAAGATGGGGAGAGGGCAGAGGTTTGGGGAAATAAATTCTTTAAGGTATCAGAGCAGTTACTTCTGTTAGACAAGAAAATAACAGGTTATTGCTTGTATTGTAGGCTGTAATTCCAGCAAAATGTCTCATGGTTTCTCTTTGTCTAGGCTCCTTCAGTAACACCCAGCGTGATTTCCCCTTTTACCGAGTAGCTGTTCTCTAGCTTAGGGTGATGATATTTAGCTGATCCTATGTAAATTGTATGGGTTTTGCTTAGAAAAAGTCAGCAGCATCTTTCTCTTCCCTGCCCATCCCAGTCTATTTTGTGACCAAATACAGACCACTTCTTGCTCCTCCCGTGACAATCTTCTATTTATTTACATTGGTTTACACTTCTCCATTTCCAGCAGTGGGTGAGAAGCTAACAGAATTCGTGAGGTGGGAAAAGAATAGTTTATGAACCAAATGTCCGAGTTCAAGAATAACCAGCACATCATCCCAGCTCTGCAACGTGAGCCTTTGCTCTACCAGAGCTTTGGGACCTTAGTTTCATTTTTCTTTCTTTATATTTTTAAATACACACAAAGCACTTGAACGGCCTGGCACACAGCCCGGGCTTCAGCCCTGTCTTTGTGCAAGTGTATCGCTCCCGGTGAGAAACAAATTTGTGACACCTGCAAGTTTGTCCGAGAGTTTTGTGGAGATATTTACCATTTGGCAGGAAGCAAGTGAAGAAGATTCTAGAATAAAAGTAAGGCTCATAAACAGCCCAAAAGGGAAACCATTACAAAACCACAGCAGTCACAGCATCTCCGCATGTAAGGAATGCCTTTTACTTGAAAGAGTGATTTGCAATATAGCATTAACTGGCAAAATGTGTACACTTGAGTCATAAATTCTCAGTAATGTGGAGCTCTAAACAGTTAGCAAAATTCACCACATCTTTATAAAGTGTGGAAAGTATACTTAAAGTATATATATGTATTTTCTACAGCGCAGTAGTTTCATATGGTTCGATCTACTTGCATACAGGCAATTTGCATGTGATTTAGTGCAATATTTATGCCAGGCATTTCATGTTGGTCTAAGTAAATGAAGTAGTGCTGGCAATCCTTTTCATTATT